CAGCACCTTGTTCTATCCTGACAACTGCCCCATAGTATCAATGGGCCACAGTACCTTGCTTTCCTGCTATTGCAAGGAATCTTACATTGCAGACAGAGGCTATAAATATGCGTTGAGGCAATTTAAATCCCACATGGCAGTAGCCTAATTTATCATTTCACAGTATCTGATTGTAGGCCAGGTTTTCACCTCACCCATAATTGTGCAGGGTCATGTCTGTAGATTCTGTCGCAGATATGAATATAATAAAACACCTGTCTGACCTTGGAGGAAGTCATAATCACGGGCAGAAAGAAAGAAAGAAAGAAAATAAAAAGGAAGTTAGAATAAGAAAACAAGGTTGAAACTGGGCAATCGTAAGATTACGACTCCATTAATGAGGAAACATTAATGCGTTTTGTTAGCTAGGTTGCTCCTGCAATAAATAAAATGACAAAGAATCACTGTTAGCATGCAGCAGGGGGCAGCAGTATACTAAATATGAACTGGAGATTTGATAACGAACTAAAGAAGTGACCATGTACATTTCCACCCTCGCTCTCTTTTGCAATTTATGTATTCTGCTGCTGGCTATCTTGTTTTGCTTTGATACCTCCAATCCCAGAAGGAGACAGGGAGGGGGCATGACAAAGATGGAGATACATTTTCACTTTTTATCTTTTCCCACCACTCCCACCGGAACAGCCATCTGTGCGCAAGTTATCACTTGATCAGGAACGGCAGGCCTTAAATTCACAAAACCATAAAACTGCATCGAGTCATCTAGGGTCATCTAGTCCAGCCACCTGCAAATACAGGAAACTGGCACATCTGAATGGGACTCTTAAGTGCAGGTGTGGGCTCTCCAAACTGTATTACTGTCAGTGGTCTTGCACTTGGATGCATGTCCCAATCTGCATTCTAACTGGGATGTAGACACATTTAGAAAGCATGTCAAATTTGCATTGTGCCAGAAGCCGGGCAGCACAGATAGCGACCACTTCTGCACTTAGAAGCATGTGAACTGGAGTCTTTAAACTATGAAAAAGTATCCCTGCACATAATTAAAAGATTTCAAGTGGAGGAAACTTGAGCTCAGAAAATGAACTCAAGAATTCCTTCCCGTAAACCCCTAAGAGAGGAGGACGTGGGTGGCGCTGTGGTCTAAACCACAGAGCCTAGGGCTTGCCGATAGGAAGGTCGGCAGTTCGAATCCCTGCGACGGAGTGAGCTCCTGTTGTCCCAGCTCCTGCCCACCTAGCAGTTCGAAAGCATGTCAAAGTGCAAGTACATAAATAGGTACTGCTCTGGCGGGAAGGTAAACGGTGTTTCCATGCGCTGCTCTGGTTCACCAGAAGCAGCTTAGTCATGCTGGCCACATGACATGGAAGCTGTCTGTGGACAAACGCCAGTTCCCTCAGCCTATAGAGCGAGATGAGCACGCAACCCCAGAGTCGTCTGCGACTGGACCTAACGGTCAGGGGTACCTTTACCTTTAAACCCCTAAGATACCACCTTCTTGAAGTTCCCAGGATTCTTTCGAGGGGTGTGTGTGAAGCTATCTTATGGTATTTGTGCCTGAAAGTCAAATTCTCTCCCTGCCCCCCCCCCCAATTTGACCTGTGAGGAAGTAACCTGCCTTACAATGTACAGGATTGGGGAGGTGGGTGGAATCAGGCTTGAAAAATGTGTGCCTGAAGCCATGAGTTCTCCAAAGCTTCCCGCTTCTATTTTAGAGGCAGGTTCAATTGAAATGGCTTGGTGCTATCCAAGCTAGCCCCCCACCCCCACTTAACTGGTGGCTGGACAGGGAGCATGGAACCACTGGTAAAAGAGAGCTTACTCTTTCCATGTTAGGAGCGGTTTCAATGCAAATGTTTTAGTGCTGCTGGAACAGCAAAGCCTCTTGTGTTGTGGTTCCCAAATGGCCAACAACCAGCTGGCTTTGGGGCACTTAGGAAGTGCTGCACAACAGACTTCTGACAGCTGGGTGGAGCAACCCACCCATCAATCACCTGATGTCACAGTGACGTCAAGCTGGCATACGGGATGGCGCCAGATAAGGATCTGGTTGCCAGCTCAAAAAGGTTACCCACCCACCTTTTAGGCAATCACTTTTAATGGCCTAGTAGCTGGCTTCCCATTGTTTCTCAATGGCTCTGCACTTAGCTAGCCCAGGCCAGTTTGCATAAGCTAACCCAGGAATTTCTTGTCTGGCACAGTTCTGCAGCTTGCATTTTCCCTTCATATCCCCAATATTATCTAAATATCACTGTTTGTTAATTCCTACCATTCACTAACAGACTCTAATACCCTAAACCTATGACAAGATACATAAAGGTAAAGGACCCTTAGGCAGTTTAGTCCATTCAAAGGTGACTTTGGGGTGCGGCGTTCATCTCGCTTTTCAGGCCGAGGGAGCCAGTATTTGTCCACAGACAGCTTTCTGGGTCATGTGGCCAGCATGACTAAACCGCTTCTGGTGCACGGAGGTACCTATTTATCTACTTGCACTGGTGTGCTTTTGAAGTAGGTTGGCAGAAGCTGGAACAAAGCAACAGGATCTCATCCCATCGCACGAGTTCGAACTGACAACCTTCTTATCAGCAAGCACAAGAGGCTCAGTGGTTTAGACCACAGCATATTAAAAGACCACAAAAGAATGATTTTATTATAAAGGGGGGAAATAACCAAAAACATCTATAGGTAAAGGTAAAGGTACCCCTGCCCGTACCGGCCAGTCATGTCCGACTCTAGGGTTGTGCGCCCATCTCGCTTAAGAGGCCGGGAGCCAGCGCTGTCTGAAGACACTTCCGGGTCACGTGACCAGCGTGACGAAGCTGCTCTGGCGAGCCAGCACCAGCGCAGCACACGGAAACGCCGTTTACCTTCCCGCTATAAAGCGGTACCTATTTATCTACTTGCACTTAAGGGTGCTTTCGAACTGCTAGGTGGGCAGGAGCTGGGACCGAAAGACGGGAGCTCACCCCGCCGCGGGGACCATGCGATCGGCAAGTCCTAGGCGCTGAGGTTTTACCCACAGTGCCACCCGCATCCCTATAAAAACATCTATAGGCACCCATAATAAAAGTGGGGGGGGAGAAGAGACATGAAATAGCAACTGTTCCAAGGGGCAGCCGATTGTCCCCATTGCTCTCAGCCAACTGAATCGAGCTCAGCTTCCATAATCCAAAAAGCAGTTTTATCTGCTGAAGCAAGTGATCCGAGCTTCTTAACTTTGGCATGTCAGGATAATGGGTAATCCCGAGGAAAGCCATCCAAAGAACAAATTCCAAGTGAAATAAGTTCGTCGTTTCGGGTGGAATTCAACATCGCACTATAGCTTGCCAGACAAAATGATCCCTCCTTCTTCTCCCTCCCACTGTGTCCTGTTCTGGAGGTTCTAGATCACTAGAACTTGTTGGCATCCAATGCAGCTGATTATTTGAGGATTTGGGTCAGACAAGCCCGTTATCTTTGCGTTATGTATGCTTTTATAACTGCAAGCTGCTTTTAGACTTTTATGAAGTGATGAAACACTGATGATGATGATGATGATACACAGCCAGTGGTTCCCCTCATAAGAAATATAGGTGTCAGAATGCACCTTTCTCTTTTTTTATATAAGATATTTATTAAAGTTTTTTGGAAATATTACAGTAAAAATGAAAAAAAAGAGAAAAATACAAAATAAAAACAGTTAAAAACACACATATTTTCAGTTACTTATTTTCCTTTAGCTTGTTTCCCGGACCTCCTCGTACCTCCCTTTTTGTATTCCACTTCAATTTATTGGTTCAGCAAATCCTTACCATTAGATTTTAACCCATTTATAACCCTTTTTTCATATTCTCTTAAAGCATTACAGCTAGAAACCGCTTAATTACTATCCAACATCATTCTATCATTCATTAATTTTACAATATTTCTGTAAATAGTCTTTAAATTTCTTCCAATCTTCTTCCACCGACTCTTCCCCCTGGTCTCGGATTCTGCCAGTCATTTCTGCCAAAGAATGCACCTTTCTCTCGTATGCTACCACTTAGGACCTGGTGGAGTGCCACGTTTGTTTAGCACCCAAGAGATATGCAGGCATTGTATAATTGCTCTGCAGATAAATTTATTTATTTACTTTAAAGCTCATTGCAGGGGGGAAAACTCTGAAACCACAGTGCTGTTAGCTACTGTCCTCTTCATAACTGCTATCCCACCCACCCACGAGCTGCCGGCGGTGCTATAGCCCAAGCTGTGCAGACTGAATGATCAATAGTTGCCCCAGCATTTGTCAAAGTGATCTACAGCTACAATCTTCAGACTAATACAACAGTACTTCTTCCTCTGCACTGTGTGGGCTTGGAGTTGCACAGCTATTCCTGGCTGTGATGGTTCTATCTGTCAGGCCATCGCTTGAGTTAACTAGGCACCACCATCAGAGTCCAAAGAAAAAAATGCATGTATTCTCCAACTGAGTATGCAGATACACGCTGAGCATTTCCTCTCGACATAGTTCTTATACTGGGAGTTTACAGTTCTGTCCTAGATGCGGGTGGCACTGTAGTCTAAACCACAGAGCCTAGGACTTGCCGATCAGAAGGTCGGCGGTTTGAATACCCACAACAGGGTGAGCTCCCGTTGCTCTGTCCCAGCTCCTGCCAACCTAGCAGTTCAAAAGCACACCAGTGCAAGTAGATAAATAGGTACCGCTCTGGCGGGAAGGTAAACGGCATTTCTGTGCGCTCTGGTTTCGGTCACGGTGTCCGGTTGTGCCAGAAGCAGTTTAGTCATGCTGGCCACATGACCTGGAAAGCTGTCTGTGGACAAACGCCGGCTCCCTCGGCCTGAAAGCGAGATGAGCACCGCAACCCAACTGGACTAACCGTCAAGGTATCCTTTACCTTTACCTTTACCTTTTACAGTTCTGTCCATAGATAGGTAAGATACAGCATGCAAAATCAACAGCCAGAAAAGGATACGTGCATAATGGGAACATTTGACAGTTATTTTGTTATGTACATACATCTGCTCTGGTAGCTCAGCTGGTAGAGCATGAGACCCTTAATCTCAGGGTTGTGGGTTCGAGCCCCATGTTGGGCAAAAGATTGCTGCATTGCAAGGAGTTGGATTAGTTGACCCTTGTGAATGACGTGAATGATGCACTGTGTTCATCTCCAACAAAAGGCAGCTCTACTTTGGGGGGAAAGGCAGACCCTTGAGTTTCCTTCCAGCTCTACAATTCTATGATTCTATGATGAATGTAGGAGTCAAATGTTTTAGGTATTCCTCTGTTCCCTCACTCTCCAAGTTCTTCTCTTTTTTTGTCCTTTTCTCTCTGCCTTCTCTTCATTTTAAACTTATTATTTTTTCTTTGAGGGGAAAAAGCTGTGCTGAAAATTTTGGCACAGCTCTAGTGGTAACATATAACCTCAGTTATCACTTATATGGACTTCACAAAAGACTCATGCTCACTTTTCATTTTCAGTGGCCTATATTTTATTTTGTAACACAGATAAGGCCTTAAAATTGGGGGGAACCCAGGGGGAGAATAGGTTTGCATAAATCCCACTGGAGCTTGTAGCTTAGACATTTCATTTTCCTGTGGGTTATACTCATTTCAGTACATCTACACTATATGTGTTTATCTGCTTTATAATACCTCAGATCCATGGCATCTCTAAAAGAATCTTGGGTGTTAGAGCTTGGGGAGAGTCTAAAAAATTCCCTGTCCCTACCCCCTTCACAATTTATCGGCTTAGGAGAAAGGTGACATTTTCTATTTTGGATGCGAACCATTAAGTATCAAATGACATCACTCCCATGAAATACTCAGGACAGTGTCACCCATTAAGCCTCTAAAACGACAATGGAATTACACTACGAGTTGGATTAAGTTAGTAGGGCTTCAGCCCCACTGAAATAAGTGCAGCTATTCTTGATTAACTTACTTCCCATTGATTTCAGTGGGCCTTCATATGTCGTTGGACCGCAACTCCAATCAGCCCCATCCAGCATGATGAATGGTCATGGATGATGGGAGTTGTAGTCTTGCATGGAAAACCTCTGAGCAGTAGGCCTAATTAGGCCTGGCAGGAGCCCTAATTTGGCCATTTAGGCAAACCACACCCAGATAATGACATCATTGTTTACTGGCCAATGGGGTTTCTAGTCAGCGTATTTTAACTCTGGCACTGAATGGGAGACCCACTGGGATTCGTTCCACTTGGCAACTCCCCAGTGGAGCCAATCCCTGCTGGAAGCAGGACTTGCAGCTACCACAGATCAGCTGACCAGTGGTGGCTGCAAACCTCACTTCCTTTGTCCCTCTACCGCCATCAATAATCGCTTTCCATATTGCATTCATATTGAAATAAAGTTAAGACTTTGTTAGGATTTTCAGTCGGAGTCCTGCAGTTGTCACCGCTCATAACAACAGAATAGAACGCACATGAATTATGCCCTAAAATATGTTTCAATCAAACACATTATAAAAGGGAAGGACTTGCATTGTGGAATTTGCACCCTGTCAGAAGAACATAACATACCCTGCCAGATTGTACACATAACATTTCAAAATGTTAAATACATGCAGTCTTAGTTTTTTTAGAATAATTTATATAAATGGTATTTGAGATGCAAATCTAACTTGGAGCTGTTACTTTTCAATGCTTGCATAAACTTTTTTATTCAATTGTCTTGAACGGGACACTTGAGCCACTTTTTACAAACTACCATTGATGGGAATTGTAATGGCAGAATCACTAACCTAGATCGTATGCATCTGCAGTACAATTTGACTGGCCACATGGAAGCCAGATTTAAGCCCATACAAACTCTATTATTGGATTTTCTTCAGGCCATGCATTTATTTTTTTAATTCTCGTAGTAGAAAGTAAAAATTCAAGAATACATAAAAGAAGCTCTTATCTAGTCTTGTCCTCGGAAAATGCTATGGAATATTACAAATAAAGAAATATGCACTAGGGAGTGCTTGAGAAACTTGAAAGTGACGTTCAGTGATTGGATAGTTACAGAAAGTGGTTACTGTTGCGTTGTAGTGGAGCTCTATATAAGCAGGCTGGCTGAACCCTTCAGTTCAGTTCTCTTCTGGCCTGTGACTAAACAAGAGCTGTTTGAAGAATCGCTGTGTCGTCTGATATGTTCACCCACAATTTAACAATGCCTATGTATTACCCCCACTATTACAGACACTATGCATTTGAATGCCTGTTGCTCAGAATCACAAGTATGGAGAGTGACGATGTTACATTGCTTTGTGCATGAGGCTACATGCATACATTGTACATAGGCCTAGGGACCAGATTTTTATTTATTAATTACAATAATCTGTATGCTGGCTTTAAGCAGAAAGCAAAAGTGCTTTGGGATGTGAAAGTATTGGATATTTTTTTAAATTAACTTATTGTTGAGTTTTATGTCCACATGTGGTGTATTTCAAATGAGACTCCTGCTTGGAGATTCCTGCGCCTGAAACATCGTTGAAAGAAGCAGGAAGGATTTTGATAAATAGCAGGGTCATTTCTCAGAGCCCCCTTGACATTTCCGCCCATTTGTAAGGCTGTTCGATTAGGTTACAGGCATATTAGCCAGCTGCCCTCCTGCGCCCCTGCTTCCTCCTTCCTTGTGGCAATGATTTAGATCCATATTGCTTCCTTCATCCCTACATAGAGGGAATGTCTAATAAGGACTCTTTGAGGATTAGCATGGAAACAGATGTAAAAGGAAAGTAAGCCTGGCAGTCTAAAAGCCTTGTTAGATTTAAATCCACTTTGGATTCTTTTGCACTACCTAATTCAAAGTTATTTATTGCTGGGATGCGAATGTAAGAACACTGTAAGGAAATGCATTCAATCCAGCTTGAGTTTCTCAAAGAAATTCTGTAATCAGTTTGACTCTTTGGCCTTAGTAAGAAACAAGATCATTAGGCTAAACAACAATGTCAGGTTATTTTCACTATCAGATTTAACCACTTGAGTGTCTAGTTTAATATCTGAAAACACATTTCACACATGCGAAAGCAATTAATACATTGCTGGCACATAAGAAAGCAAATATATATATATATATATATATATATATATATATATATATCTCTCTAGGGGAGAAACCCCAGTGGTTTTAAAAAAATCTTTATGGCTTTAGGAATGTGTAATCTATACTAAGTAAAAGAGAATTGTGTCAGCACTACTGTAGAAAATCGATGCATTACAATAATCAAAGGCCACTAATGGTGCTTAATAGGTATTTATGTAGTATTTTTAGACTGCGGTCCTATAGGTACTTAGGTGAAAGTTAACCCCATTGAACTTGGTGGGACATACTCTAGACTTGGTATATTTAGGACTGCGCCATTACAGTATTCAAAATGCTTCATGTACATTTTTGTGTCCTAACCTTTACAACAGCTCTACCATGTCAGGCAACCTAATTATTATGCCCATTCTGCAGATGGTTGGGCTGAGGCAACCTAACAAATTCTTAACTGGGATGAGATTTGAACAGGGGCTTCCTGGCTCACAGATTAATTTCGAAACCACTCAAACCCTCTTTGGAAGTTATAAAACTGCAGCCAAGTGTGCCACTTCTGCCCTGTCTGTGCCACATTGGCACGATTTTAAAAGGGCTGAAATGTGTGTCCACTGAACATCCTTACATACTTCCTTTCAACCAGGAACCTCAGACTGCACAGGGCTGTCCGTCATGGGGAGACTTTTATGCATGCTCAAGTGAATTCTTATATTGTTATTAAGATTGGAGGATGGTATTGGTTGGGTCCCTTCTGGGCCTGGGATTCTGTATCCATGAAGTTCAGAATCCGGTAGAAGAACCAGATGAACTGGTCAACCCAGTTTCTTTGCGGGGCTAATAGCTCTAGCAGGGCTACCCACATCAGTCCCTTAAAGAGAGAGAGCCACGCTCCAATAGTGATGACAGGAGATGCTTCAAGGAGGATGGAGGTGGACCTTTTCCCACCTCGCAGGATGCCACAACATCCTAGGGAGAAGAACAATAGGCCAGGAGGGCTGGGGTGTGTGTTTTGGGCTGGGCTAGAAGCTGGGGAGAGAGGCTTGTCTCTCTCGGTGTGCTGAACCAAAGCCAAGGCCTTTGGGGCTTCCCAGAAAACCTAATGGAGACGCTATTGGAGTGCTAACGCTGGGAGCCCTTCCATCCTGTGCTCAGGATGTATATATGTGAAAATAAAACCATATATCCTAACGATACCACAGTTTCCATTGGTCTTCATTCCAAGGAAACCAAACTCTGGGTAAGTGCTAGGACTCCTGGAATCTCCAACTGTGCAGAAATTGGGGTGCATGCAACACGATAATTATTATGGGCCAGATTCAATTAATGAGTTCATAGAATCATAGAATCATAGAATCATAGAATCATAGAGTTGGAAGAGACCACAAGGGCCATCGAGTCCAACCCCCTGCCAAGCAGGAAACACCATCAGAGCACTCCTGACATATGGTTGTCAAGCCTCTGCTTGAAGACCTCCAAAGAAGGAGACTCCATCACACAGAAGGAGACTGCAGAGGAAGCCTGCAGAAGGACTTCCACTAAAACAACTAAGCTTTTTCCCCTCTCCCACCTTCATGCCCAGAACTTGTGCCCAAAAATTGGTTCAGGGTGGCTGGGAGAACCCCCAGAGCGGTGTGCCAAAGGAGGAGAGGGGAGATTTTTCGGTCTGGCAAGCTGAAATGCAGCATTCATGGAAGAATTGCCAGAGAACTCTGTGCCTGGCATCCAATCTATTTCTTCCCCTCTGCTGTTAGGTTAGTACACTCAATGACTAAGTACCTATGTTCAAACCAAGAAACTCTCTTTATTTGACCACCTTCAAACTTCATATTAAAGTCACTCGTCCAATACAGATGGGTCCTTGGTAAACAAATTGACAGCTGTGGACTCTTTTCTAGAGTTGCCTGGAGAAAAGTCTGGCAATGATTATGTTGTTCAGTAAGCAGAAACTAATTCCCACCAGTGTATGCACCCCCAGACATTCCCCCTCAGTCATCAGATCTTGATTCACAAAGTTATTAGAAATTCAGAGATGATCTTCAAGCTGAACATCG